CCTGCCATCATGAATGTAAAAGCATGCCTAAGCATTTCTAATGTATATTATTGAACTTAGAAGTATGGCTAACCACTTTTAACCTGCATGAATTGTCTTTGAAGCATGGATAAACTGTCCTTGCTTATATATGAACTTAGAAGCACAGCTAATCCATTTAAATGTGTGTAACTGAACTTGACAGCAAAAAAATTCAAACTTTTAGTATAGATCTTAGAGGCAGGGCTAACCATGTCGAAACTGCACATGGGATCTTAAAATCATGGCTAACTACAAAGTTGTAAACTATTATTGAATGAAAAGGACATGCACATAGAAGCATGGATTCTAAATTGGTCTTTAGAGACATTTCTGAAAGTTGTGATGAGGGTTGCCATGGTAACGCTGACCTAAATGACTTTTTGTTTCATTTCTAGTCACACACACCTGCTGCAGTCCGTACACGGCACTTTGGATATTCCACTTTCTGCTTGTCACCATCACTGCAAAGACCCAAAGCCTCTCTCCTGTCGGCCTGAGCCACTGTCGCACAAATTAGTGGTCACAAAAGCACGAGTCACGTCTGCATTAATGAAACTACAGTCAATAATAGTCTTTTTGACAGAATGGTTTCAAAGCCAGGCTGCGACTCGGCTCTGTGCCCTATCATGAGCTCGTTTGCGGCTCGCGGATGGCAACTTCTATGGAAGGTACCCACATGTTTTATTCATATCTCTAAAAATGGATTGGGCCCTGACAGAATCAGGCAAAATGTCTAGTCTTGTGTGTGGTAATAGCTCGAAGAAAAAACAAGATATAAGATGAAACAAAACAGCATTGCAGGAAAATGTATTTATACGTATAACAGTTTCTTGCAGACCGATTGCAGAGATGTTGTGAACAAAATGTGTGTAAAAAGGAAAGTGTTCGTGGCTGAAATAGCAACAGTTGTGGTGGGAGTAGTCTGTGTATAGTAATATAAGTGTCTATAACAAAAGATGACAGAAAATGATGCAGGATGTGGTGCAAACAGGAGCTGAAATGTGTTGAAAAGACAAGGCAAAGAGGAGAGGAGATTATAAAGTATACCCATGGATCTATTTTAATAACTGGATAGGGCACTAGCTTGGAGCTGAAGAACCATGTGCTCGGGGGATTCTCACAGTACTGCAGACTAATCCAGACTAAATTCATAAGGGCTACCCAGAAATGTTTCCCATAGAACTCAATGTAAACTAAAACAGCTCGACCTCAGCTGACAGAGAACCTGACAGAGAACCTGACAGAGAACCTGACAGAGAACCTGACCGAGAACCTGACAGAGAACCTGACAGAGAACCTGACAGAGAACCTGACAGAGAACCTGACCGAGAACCTGACAGAGAACCTGACAGAGAACCTGCCCGAGAACCTGACAGAGAACCTGATCGAGAACCTGACCGAGAACCTGACAGAGAACCTGACAGAGAACCTGACAGAGAACCTGACAGAGAACCTGACAGAGAACCTACAGCTTTCATAATGATGAGATGTTGTGGGGTTTTAGTGTCCCTTGTCGTCCTGAACTTTCTTTCTTCTTTTCTTTAAATCCACACTTTACTGCCACAAATTCTGTTCCTTTCCTTCCCACTCTGACACAAAGCGCCACTGAGCACAACCATTCATTTTAAGACGGCGCCATCTTGGATCGCCGGGGCTTGAGTATACCGTAAATACCAAACTTTCAAACCATAAACAAATTAACTATGTAATTAGTTCGTCCAAGTATTCCTAAAATTGGTTTCTATTGTTTGGATTTCTAGAAAACATGTATTTTGCAAACGTGTAAGAAATGTTCCTGTGAGTGGCTAGTTTATACTTCGGACTGAGAGCTAATAACAACTGTTACTCAAGCATCAAGTTCAATACTCAGCTTTAAAACCGATATAAATAATCCCGATATCTCCAAACATAACCGTGTATTTTGGAACCTCAACCTATGAGTAAGAGGGCCACTTTAGCTCGCCAAAAATGTCCAGGGAAAATACTGAATGAACTTTTACTTTTTATGCTTTGAAAGGAAATCTACCATGTCCACTTTGACAGAGCAGAAGTCGGATCAAGACAAAAGTGTACTCTCTCACCGGCTGTATTATGTCCACATCAAAAATCAGTATATACAAAAAACACAATTGGATTTCAGAAGTTCTAAGCTTTACGACCAGGTATAGCATCCATATATTTGGTGGAAGTTGGCTGGATGACACTGTGAACTGGTCGAGGCAGGGGGCCACATAACATGACACAGAAGGCCCCAATTAGCCCGCGGTCCTTAGTTTGGTCATGACAGCTCCACATCCTGTTCTCCACAAAGACCCTGGACTGGTGTGAGCTGTGCACGGAGGCATGTGTAATCTTCAGAGTGCTTTTCTGTGTCTGCAGGCGTCAAAGAGTTTCAAAATATTAGCACCAGTCACACAAGCCGCAGAGAAAAGACCATTTTCTCTGCTTCTTCCTGATTATTCTTACTGTTTATTTCCCCACCACGTTTTCAAAAGGGCATCATTACCGTGTACATCAACAACTCATGGAGGACCACCATTTTGTCAACTGCAAAAGAGAGGGAGAAAAAGTCCAAATTGTCTCTTCTCTTTGTCATTGCTGTCGACAAAATGGTGGTTTTCCATGAGTTTTAGATTCTCAAAGTTAGTTCCCGTTATGCAGAAGTATTTGCCCTTCCTCCCACTCGTTTTTACTCAGAAACTGCGACAGGGGCTGCGTGGTTTCTGTGAACATTCTGTAGACATTACAGCGTTAGAAAAGCCGATAACGAACATGTGTGCAAGAGCAAAGTTCAAACTATAGTATAGT